TTTAATGCTAATTTTAACATGCCTCCTCACAATACCTCGGTCTTTGAAAGAAGTTACACCTATAATGCTGTCAAGCATTACAATGCAGTCAACAGTGGCTATCGATCCAAACAGGTTGTTTCTTTTAAGAAATTAATGAAAAGTCAGCTGCTGGAGTCCATTTAGTTCAGTTTTTCTTGTGCTCATGTGATTTTTTTTTTGTTTGACTATTTTCTACTATTTTTGTTTCAAATTTAAAACTCTCGCAATGCTATCTGCATTTGTCTCGTGCAATCAATGTTGTCATTCTTATGAATTGTATTTTTTTTGGTATGTTATATTTTGTTTATGTGTGTAAGTATTCTTTTTTCCTGTTGTTAATAAAGGCATTATTATTATTATTACTATTATATCACGTGATGATAGAGGACTATTTTTTGCCGCAACTTGAAGGAATGGATATGGATGATGTTTATTTCCAACAAGACGGTGCAACATGCCACACAACCAACGTCAATATCCATCGATTGTAGTCCTTCTTCGGTGATCGCGTGATTTCGCGCAGAGGAAATAATAATAATAAACGTCTGTATTAAATAATATATACAATACATGTGTGTATATATATATAAAGTGTAGCTATAGTGGCGAAGTTTAGCAATATGCTACTCTAACACTTAACCACTAAAGTTAAATATCACGTTGTTAACAGCTAACAGAAAAAAAAATGCAAAATATATATAACAAATCACTTATAACCCATATGAGAAGTGGAAAATGAGATATTTTGTGTGCACATACTGCTACTCTGAAAAGGTCTATGAATATTGAGGGAAAAGTTAATCGTTCAAATAACTCAATGTGCCATGGCCACCAAGATCGTGCGATTTGACACCCTTGGACTTCTTTTTATGGGGATATTTGAAAAGCAAAGTCTACGTCAACAAACCAGCCACCCTCCAAGAACTCAAAAAACAACATCATTGCCGAGATAAATGCCATAGAACCGACCATGTTGCAAAAAGTCATTGAAAATTTCGACCATCGCGTGGACGTCTGTAAATCCAGTCGTGGTGAACATTTGAGCGATATTATTTTTCATACATAAATGGTATAAATGAACCTTCAAATTAAAGTATCCAACTTGATTTGAATATCAATCTTTCTTGTTTTAATATGCGTTTACTTTCCTGCGTCCGTTTTGGACAACCCCATACTTCTACGCCTGATTGTTCTATTATGCGCCCTGAGAATGAACTTTTCTCTAAGATAAGACGTTCAGATGTAAGCATTAATTTGTGGATGGGAATAACATAGTTAAGCTTCACTAAAAGTGCATTTTCAATCAGCACAAAAAGTAAACTTATTTAAGACATGATCAAACATAAGTCTTACGCAACTTTTCTGAACAACACCTGCAGTCTGTTCTTAGGTATGCCATCGAGGCAAGTACAAAATAAAATATTAGAGTAGATAAGAACTGGTGTTACACTAAGACCGTGAGCCTTTTTCGCAATTATACTACTTCCTCGCCAGTTGGCGTGGGAAGTAAAAAACAACTTGTCTGATTGGTCCAAATTGAGTCGCAACCGCTGGTAGATCCGCCAGGAGCAACTTGTTTTGTTTGCTGTATAGCGTAGCTGGAACTCCATCGATAGGAAACCGCCGGCCGTCGTGCTATTCTCGCCATCTAATCCAATTAATTACCTTCTAGATGATTACAAAGTGGAACAAACTAGAAAAATCAATATGGGGCTTATAATTCGCACTCCTTTGTGCGATCGCTCCGAAGCCTTTTCACACACACGGAAGGAAACTGTGTTACGGAATTACTGTAATTTTATAATTGGCCCCTTTTTATTCACTCCTATCGGATCTCGATGGGAATATCACGCTATTTATGGACATGGTGACAATGGGGTACCGTTACAAATAGGAATTGTTAAAATATATAATTTTAGTTAGTTTATTATCAATCATTTTGCGACGTCTGTGAACATTGACATGATATTAAACTTAAAGCAATGCACCTTTATAGGTGTTTGGATTCTGTATCCAGACAGTGGAAGCAGTGTACGATTTTGTTCCCGTTAGGTTGCGTTTGTGTGGATAGGGGTCAAATTGACAAAAGTAGACAGGAAATCATATATGAGCCGCTTTCCAGTGGTTTTGGATTGACCGTTTTATCCACCCGGGGTGTGACGTTTCCATACTGCTCTAGCAAATGTGCTCGGGAACGCCAACTCGACCATGGACATCCCCCCAACGCCCAAGTGCCATCGATTCCCTACACTATGCGGGAAGTAACATTGAGGCATAAGGTCTGGACCTAATTCCTGCAATTGTACTGAAGAGGTGTGCAGCGGAGCTTGCTCCAGTTCTTTCGCGTCTCTTTCAGATATCCTATGAATCCGGCATCTTCCCAGAAAACTGGAAATTTGCTCATGTCCAGACTATCCCAAAAAAGGATCTAAGACCGACCCTTATAACTACAGGCGTATAGCTTTGCTTTCTGTTATAAGTAAGGTAATGGAGAGGTGCATAAATGGCGAGCTTCTGGACTACCTCGAACATCACGGCTTGATTAGCGACAGGCAGTATGGCGTCACCAGCGAACCACAGGAGACCTCCTAGCTTACGTCACGCAACTGTGGAGCTCATGTTGTTGCTGTTGATATCACGAAAGCGTTCGATCAGCTGTGACACGCTGCCCTCTTATACAAACTTCCATCGTTTGACCTCCCAGAAAAGCTTTGCAGGGTGGCTGACTTTCTCTCTGGCCGCAAGATATCAGACGTAATTGATGGGTTCTCATCTTCATCCCACAACGTCAACGCGGGTGTTCCCCAGGGATCGCTCTTGGCTCCGACACTGTTCCACTTACATATCAACGACCTCCTTTCCTGTTCGATCAACACAATCCACAGCTTTGCTGATGACATGCAGGAGTTCAGAGTGACAAGCCGATCTCTGCCGCTGAGCTGGAAAAAAGGAGACTAGCGACGCTTCCTCTCTAACGAGAGTCTTGGAGGTTATCACTGCTTGGGGACGCAACAATCTTGTACAGTTTAATGCTTCCAAAAACAGTACTGCAGTGTGACGAACAAAAAGCGTCCTAGCGCTCATCCCGTTTCGATGGATGGCCGAGTTTTGCCAAAGAGCCGTTCACTTTGGCTGGTCGGAGTCCAGATCACCGAGGGACTTGATCTGGCACGAACACATCAATAGTGACAGCTGCTGGGAGAAAGCTAGCTGTTTAGGCCAAAGAAGTACTTTTCTCTGCATGACCTTCTCACTCTATAGAAGGCCCAGATAAGGCGCAACCTCGAGTATTGCTCACGCTTGGGGTGCTGCCGCGCTGACTACATTATTTATGCTCGATGCTGTCCAGAGTAGGGCTGTCCGACTGATCGACGACTCGTGACTAGCCTTTCACACCGGCGGCGGTGGGCCGTCGGCGATCTAGCTCTCTTCTACCGCTACACCAACGGGCTTTGCTCCTCAGAGCTCTCTTCCATGCTGCCGCCGCGCGATGTGTCTGCTAGACAGACCCGCCTGACTTTGACCCCCCATCCTAGTAGTGTCGAAATTCGTACATCCAGAACTGGCCGATACGACCGATCATTTATCCCGAGGGTGTCGAGATTATGGAACAATCTACAAGAGGAAGCTTTTCCCAGTTCTACTAACTTTAGGCAGTTCAAAAATCGGATAACCAAAATTTCTTTTTGATCCTCATAGCAGCCGCGGTGACCCGGCCTGCGCGGCTGCTTCGGTATAAAAAAAAAACGATTAAAACCTGAAGGTGGGTCCAGACATGCAACAAAACACCGTATCGTAACAGCACTGCGTAACAAGTGTAGACGTTGGAGCGTATCAACGTAACCCCGCAACATAGTAACATCGAGGCGTCCCACGAGATGTCGGTATTTTGGTGTCGCATCAAAGGAACGATACGCGCTGATGTTGCACCACTGGATTGCAGGTTTGCACTGGTCTGCGTAATAAAGGTGCGATCTACTTTGTTTCTGTGTTTTGAGTAATACTGACAGGTTTATTATGGAGTGGACTGAAGAAGTAACGATTAAATTCATTAACAGTTATAGAAGCAAAGAAATTTTGTGGGATCCACAAAATTCCCAGTATTATAATAAAATAAAGAAAAACGATTCTTGGAATGAGCGCGCTGTAGAATTTAAAACCACGATAGATGAATGCAAAAAGAAAATGAATGTGTTATTGTCGGCACTTAGGCGAGAAAAAGCAAAAATTAAAAAAAGCAAAGGCACAGGAACAGGTAAATGTGAATAATTACATTATATTTTTTATTTATGTATTTTATTTACTTATTAACATATCGAACATATTATATTCATTGCAGGTCGTTCTGATGTGTATGAAAGTAGTTGGTTTGCTTTCAAAAGCTTGCTGTTTCTTTGGGACAAAAATAAAGTTCGACAGACAAAAAGTACCGTAAGTATTGTGTTACGCATAATTATCTTGATACACAAGTGGATCTTCATTTTGAAAGTATAGTGCCAATTCGTCTCTGATTATTTTCGCGTTATCAGTTGGTTTTCGGGGAATATTTTTAAGTGGCAATAGAGAAGACATTGTTTCATTTGTTGCTCTTGGTAAAGGTGATTTGGTATCGAACATGTCATGTGGCATATACAAAGTAGAAGATGTAGAGCTTTTTCTCAAGAAGTTATGTAGATGAGCTATTGCCATTACAATTATTTCAGCTTTTGCGGGTTCAAGTAACATGGGTTTACCAAGTACTCGAAAAACGGCCGAAGCAATACCAAACACATTTTCTACAGTTCTTCGAGCACGAGATAATCTATAGTTGAATATTCTTTGTATGGATTCTTTGAGATGCGTTCCCGAAAACGGTTTCATTAGCGAATAAGTGAATGCAAATGCCTCGTCTCCGATGAAAAAATAAGGAATTTTCCGTTGCATGAACAATCTTTAAAGAAGCCACCGTCTGAAATTCGCCCTTGGCCACCAGCATTGACGTACAAAAAATTATAATTAGCATCCACTAAGGCGAAAAGAACAACGCTGAACGTAGATTTGTAGTTGAAAAATTCGCTTCTAGTGTTGCATGGTCCTTGAATAACCACATGCTTTCCATCTAAAGCTCCAAGGCAATGCGGAAAATTCCAGGTTTTTTCAAATTGCTTTGCCACGTCCAGCCATGATTCTGGTGTTGTCGGTATCTGCAACAATTAGAACAAATTGTGTCATGAGAAATTACGCGATATGCCCACAAATAACTGATATCTTTATTTTCTATCGCAATGTGAATATTCTTGTAAATGACTAGGACTACTATTTAATTACAGATTGAAGACGAAGAAACAGATGATAATGAGGTATCTGATGGTGAATCAACATTGACAGATAACGACGTTGTGAAGGAGACTCAGGAGGTTATACATAATAGACCGAAAAGAAAATTGACGGATGTAACACCAATTAGAAAACAGCAAAGAAAAAGTGAAGATTCTGATAAATTAGATAGAGCTTTTCAGATACTGTCAAAAGCATCAGCAAACGCCAATAACCCAGAAGGACACAACGAATGTCAGATATTTGGAAATCTTGTGGCTAAAAAATTGGCTAAATATTCGCCTGAATTGCAGACCAATACACAACAAGCGATTATGAATATTTTATTTAAAGCAGACAGCATCCATATTCGCCAAAATTCAAGCAATTTCCAATCCCCACCACAACGTACTGACACTATTCACTCATTTTTTTCGAATTATCAGGCTAACCAAGAATCCTGTTTTAATCAAGAGCCATCACAGTTGTCATCTCCAACATATAGTTATGGTAATTCAAATCCCTCGACCTCGAGTGACAATAATACTCCTCTCCCTCCTTCTTTGCCACACGAGTTATTGGATATGTCCCACATTGAACTACAGAGCTTGTAGTTAGTGCAAATGTTTAATGTGAGCAACAGTTTATTTAATGTAAGCAATATTTTGTTTAAAGTATAGAGTTATTGTGTCAAACCTTTATTTTTTTACCTGTATATTGTCATGTAATCCTTCTATTATTGCATCACACACTTCAGGAACTATAGTGCTTATAGATTGCTTAGATATTTTAAAGAGGTACTGAAGACTTGTGAAGGAATCACCAGTCGCCAAAAATCGAAGCGTGACTGCCAATCTGTCTTGTACAGAAATTGCCTTTCTCCAGCTGATATCTTTTCGTAATATTTTGGGTCCAATCAAATTAATCAAATATTCAAAGTCTGTTGCGGACATTCTGGTGAAATTTTTGTAGAGGCCGCTCATTTTCAAGTCTATGAGCAAATTACTTCCACTGTACACATTTGTTTTTACGAACAACTGCTTCTGCCAAAAACGTTTTTCTCTTCGCTTTTTTTGATTCTTCTTAACATAATAATGCATGAATATATAGGCAGCAGCGGCGACTTCCATTATAAACGCACTAGGAAAAACGGAACGACAGAATGTTCTGCTTTGAAGATACGCGATGGTATGAAAAAAAGTACACACCGTGACTTAGACGCGTAACACATAGTTGTTGCGGGACGGTGTTATTACACGGCGTTTTGTTGCATGTCTGGACCCACCTTAACATGTTTTTTTATCTTCTTCTTTGATGTTACTTTGTTGATCGCACTGCCAAACTACTACAATGAAAAATGTAAAACACATTTTGCCTTTTCAGAAGCATTGTCAGATTGTCCAATTGTTGCCTGATGAACACGTCACAGGTCTGCGTTTTCATTGTAAAGCTTCTGTGTAGAAGTGTCGAATTCAAATTTTAGTGAAGGTAGACATTTAAAATTATATTTAAAGTGTCTAGTTAGTGCCAACTACATGCCAGTATGAACTTGCCTTCTTGCGCTGTCTTGTGATCTTCATTATTCGGTAATATCTGAAATGTATGTTGTGACTCTTGGTCATACATTGTCAGTTTTTTACAATCTTCCATTGTCTCGTATCGGTTTAATGCAAGAAAATAAAAACCGTGAAAATACTTAACCTAACAATCTTAACACATTGTCATTTTCCTTATCCCCACTATTTCAGAGCGTATAAATTTATTTTCGTATATCCTCTTGTTACCATAATATTATACTGGATGTATCATAAATAATAATTATTATCCTTTTTTTACAGGTGAGTCCAAATCTATTGGGTACACAGGTAAGCCTTTAAAAATTTTCGGAGGTTTTACCTTCATATAACCAATGTAAGGATGACTCCTCTGGATGTAATCACCGCCTTCGTTTCTATACTAAGTGACATATAAATCCGAACACCCAGTTTAAATGGTTTTATTTTAATAAAATTTTGTATAAGTACTTAATGAAGCATAATAAGTAAATGATAAAAATTTCAAAATGATTGCACTGCTTTAAAGCCCTTTGACCTTTAATAATGTGTGGATGCACCCTGATGTGCTACGCATTCTCCAACGCGCCTAGGCATGCTTCTGATCAGGTGGTCAATGTCCTCCTGTGGTATCTCATTCCAGGCAACCACCAACTCCTCTCGAAGTGCTTCTAGAGACTGAGGAGGACGTTGCAAATTGAGCAATCTCCTACCCATCATATCCCACACGTGCTCAATTGGGGATAAGTCGGGAGATCCTGGTGGCCATGGTAACAATGTGACATCATTATGTTGAAAGAAGTCTATTGTGACTCTTGCAACATGTGGTCGGGCATTATCTTGTTGGAAAGTTGGATCTGCCAGGGTGTCAAGATAGTGTAAAAGATAGGGTTCTAGAACTTCGTGGATATAACGCTGCGCGTTCATGTTACCTCTGATGAAGATTAAAGGTGACCTGGAACCATAAGCTATAGCACCCCAAACCATAACTCCAACAGTGTGATGAACATGTCTTTCAACAAAAAACTGTGGATTCCTCCTTTCACCACGTCGCCTTCTAACCCTGGCACGACCATCATGCATGCCTAAACAAAATCGAGACTCGTCACTAAAGACAATACTGTTCCATTCCTGATCCCAGAGTGACCGTTGTCTGCACCACTCAAGGCGATTCCGTCGGTGTTCTCGAGTTAAAGGGAGGACCCATTGTGGCCGGTATGAAAACAAGAAAAAACTTCTCATTCGTCGGTAAACACTTCGCATGCCAATAGGTCTTCCGTGTTCTGCAAACCATTCATTTGCAATGGACCTGGTAGTGGAGAAACGGTCCCTTAAGGCCAATAATCTTAGGCGGCGATCTTCACGGTCTGTTGTTCTACGGCGGCGTCCAGTGCCCCTTGCTCTTTGCGTACGGCCTTCTCGAAGCCATGCCTGACAACACCTAACCACAGTGTCTACACTTCTTTGCACTCTAACTGCAATTGCCCGAAAAGAAAGTCCAGCTTCCCGAAGTCCCACTATACGGCCCCTATCAAACTCACTAAGTTGACGAAATCGTACAGGTCTCCGTACTCTAGGCATCGTAACCGATCGTAAAGGATGTCAAGAACCAAAATCCGCCAACGTTGACTCTTTACTGCGGTTGAAATATTCAGTTTTAGAGCGTTAGTGAATTAAAAAAAAGCAGTATAAAAACCGGAATGTCCAACTGATAAGGCTGAAAATTTTTTCACTTGTTATTTACAATAAGATAAATACATTCACCAACTTTTATTAAAATAAAACCATTTAAACTGGGTGTTCGGATTTATATGTCACTTAGTATATTTCGAGACGAAAGAAGCTGTAGGAAGACTTATGTAGGACCAGCGAGGTCTTACGCTCCGATCTTTACTAGATGTTCCAATGCAATTAGCTAGACAAAATAACACCAACTTGTGTGTAAACGATAAAAGCGAGACACGTCGCGATAATATTTTCGCGGTTACTGTAACCCGTATCTGTTTAAAAAACTCAGACGTATCAGTATCCAGATACCTCCACATTCTTGAATATAGCCCTTCACGGCAGACATTAATGTATGCAGATTTGAAATATACTTATGCGGGTAGGAGAGAGACAGTGAGCTTTTCCTGTGACATGCATAATTTAGTGACTCTTCGGAATAAAATTTGGTGCCTTTGAGCGAGTATACCCGTATAATACAATATATACCCGATAAGATTTATTCGAATCTCATCCTTCAACGAATCGAATTCGAGTAGATGACGTAATGATACAGTGTTGACCAATATGAGTTAAGTATCATGTCATGCAGTTGCACTCTGGGTCTGCTAGATGGACCCGCCATACCTCTGGTTCTCTTGTTAACAGTGGATCATTGATTCAGGATTTAAATAATAGTGCAATCCATGCAAATCTGTGAGTTAATAATAAAAAAAATACTTATTTACTCCTAAAATACAATATAAATAATGATTACATAAATATGAAACAAGAGTCCATGAGAGGCATTGCCTGTACATGGACCATTAATTCTGCAATTGTGCATAGTATTGAAATATGAATAATGATACAACTAATCAACCGATTATTTGATGTTTACATTTAACATTAATGTGTGTACGTTTGGTCTTGCCAGGGAAAAAAATCCATTCTTTTAATTTTTTTTGAAATTATTTCCAAAGCGTAGGCCTTTTATATCTTTAGGTAATTTTGGTCCCAAATAAAGGTATGATCTTTGTGTGTGCCACATTGAAATTCGAGATTGACCTTGATTTACTGCCTGAATGTGTCAAGTTGGCCCTGAATTTGTTTGTAACTAGGTTTTAGAGCATTTGATCTTTTTACCTCCTGCGCTTATTTAAGAATGTGCTAATTCCTTGAGGTTTTCCACTAACTTTAGAATTCATAAGGTTCGTCTATAGAACGTATTGAAAAGAAAAACATTCCTACGTGATCTGAATCGAAACTTTCTTGAAGGGTTGAAGAAATCCGGGGCTTCCAATAGAAAACTAAGCAATTTTGTGTATTTGAATACTTAAATACGTTGGCTAGGGAAAGGGATGTGCTATGCCCTTACATTCAATTTACACTAAAGTATGGCTACAATTTTTCAAGCACAGTCACGTAGTTCAGGAAAAATCAAGGTAATTGCAAAATTATTCTGAAACTGCGTAGAAATCATTCACTGCCAAGCAAAAGGATCAGATTGAATTAATGGGTACGGCACGTGGCAAAAGCATTATGCTTTTACATTTAAATCGAAATTATGCTTCATGGAAAAAACAGGGAGTGTAAAATATTCCCGTTTTCTTGTATAATGGAAGCTTTTCAACGTCTGTTTATTCCGTCATTTACTTCAGATTAAAATTACCATTCCCTCTTTGGAGCTTAAGGAGAGGTAGGTGCAGCAAAGGTTCACACCTAAAAAAAAAAAAAATGGGGTCAAATGGATTTTCTCTTAACTTTTTACGGATTAATACAGATCTTCGGAAAATGAAACAACCTCCGAGTAACGGTTGTGTTCAACAGCTACACATTTTTTTGAGATGTTTCATACGCTGTTTTTATATTTTTAAACTGTCGAAACATTGAAAAATTAAACTTGCAACAGTACAATATTGCTAATTTTGTTATATCCTGTGTAAAAAAGGATACTTTCAGAAAGATTCATCTTTAATCTGATGAGACGAATCCTTGTTTGATTTAGGAAAAATAGTCTTATTCTAATACTGTTTGTCACGATATTAAAAATAAAGTAACTTTGATCCCAGATTCATAACCAGCGGCCCAAAAACCCCTGAATATAAAGTTTAGCATTTTTGGAATTGGCTGCGTCCCAAATTGATAGGAGTAGTATTGAAACAAGACTGTTTCTTTCTAAAAAAAGCGGTTAATTTTATCAAAGTTAGACAAGAGTACATGTTTTCAGATAAAATAAAAAAATTTCTTTTAAGCGACTATCATCCAGGTTGTAAAAAGTAGCAATATTGCTTATAGGGGCTAATCTATCGCTGGTAAACTAACAGACTTATTTTCTATGGACACCACATGAAGCCTGAACTAGTTATTATACTATCAACATTTTACTGGATTATACGATATTGTTCAAAAGTTATTTGAGAATCGCCTGTTCTCAGTGATGCTTTTTGGGGGCATGTATATTCGTAAGAAAACGGTATTTCGAAATGTGTCTTAGAACAATCACCCTTTGAATGTTTGCCCCAGGCTTCTTCCTCCCATACCAACTCGAGCGTCGTCCGGTACGACTGCTCCTATGTTCCTAGAGTGTCCAGATTGTGGAACAATTTTTAGAGCGAAATATTTCTTTATATTTATTTCACCTCAAACATTTCTACCATATTTTCACTAGAAAGTAAAATTAAATATCCAAAAACGCAATAGATCCCAAAAAAGTCACTAATTTCAGAAATATTGTCTTTTTCCATCCGTAAGTATTAACATCCTCAGTAACTTAGCAACTGGAGTAGTTTCAGCCGCGATTTTTTGTATGGAATGGTGATATTTTTTTGAGTCCATTTATCCACTACCAAGATATAATGTTTTTTTTTTCTATATTACGAGAATATACCTTAAATCTCGAAATCTTGCCGCTGTTTTGAATCGCCCAGCATCTCCTTAAACTAAAATGGACTTCTACGTATATTCAAATCCTCATGCAGTATGCGCCTCTTCATCCGACCCACTTCGGAAGCACTCACTTTATTGAAGTTTGCCGGAATCACCAAACACATCCGCCTTCTGCCGGCTGATTAACATAACTGGAAAATGGAAATACACCGGAAGCATACTAATTCGAGATTCTTACACTGCACCCTGCACCTACTTCCGCTGGAACTCCTGGGAGGGGATGAGATGATTTTAATGTAAAGCAAACGGTGGAAAAGCGGATTTCGAGGGATGTGATTATATTGTAAGGAAACGGAGATTACGTTGCAAACTCGGGGGATTTTACGTAAAAATTGGGCCTCTTTTGTGTACCGCGTTCCAATATTCCACCTACATCTTCATAAATTTTGGGTCTTCTTTCAGCTGTCCAATTTGTGGTCCGATTTAACTTTTTTTGCTCAATCCAGGAATTCAAAGTCAGGTTCATTTATTTCTTTTCCTGATTTACTGACATTTGGACTGACCAGGCTGTGTAAGGGGTCGCTGATGAGGGCTGGCTAGTTAGATGTGCGTCGAGATGAGAGTACATCGGCCCTAAGGGTCGCGAGTTCAAATCCCGTCCTTGGAAGTTGTATTTCGAGACATGGATGTTGTGTTAGCCTATACAGGGTGTTCTGTACTTGAATAGATATTGTGATGAGGTACGTAGTATGGACTGACCTTTTCATATCTCAAAATAAAAAAGTTCGAAATTCAGCTTTTATGGATATACAGGCTGATTTATCTAAACACGCTAAATCTTCAATGCACTATTGAACCGATTTTGTTTACATTTTGTTCCATAACGAAACTAGACGGACGGCTCGAAAATGCAGGGCCGGTCTTATTTTTTCGCTTTTTATGAAAACCATCACCTTTTCGGCAGAGAATTGATATGTTTGACTATATACAAAAAGGAAATAAATGGTGCTAGTTAAGTAGCAAAATTGGTTAAAGAATATATCTTATTTTTTCAGTTTATGCGACACGAAACTCAAAACTTCAAGTGTCTTAAAACTTATTTCATCAACATTTTACAAAATAGCGCTTAAAATTGAACTTAAGATGTTTTGGGAACTAAAAATTTCAGTACCCTTAATTTTTTTCAATTTCTTTGTATTTCATCGATTAAATGACACGTCCGAACCCGCATACTATGTTTTGTGGATTTTTAACTTAATTTCCAGTTGGTCTGGATTGTCAAATTTAGTGGAATTGCATATTAAATACCGTTTCCCTTTTTAACAAGAGCTCGTGTTCCACAGTATCAGTTGATAGAATTAAATCATTAAAAAAATTACTACTTAATTATTAATCTTTTCTTTTATTTATATCATCCTTTTTTCCTTGCGAAATAATAATAAATTCAGAGTATATCTTAATAAAATACAAGGAAATAAAAAAATGAACCCGACCCTGGAATTTTGAGCTCCCAAAACATCTTTAGTACAATTTATAGTATCATTTTATAAAATTATGGCGGAACATAGTCGATAACCCGTGAAATTTTGTGTTTTGCATCACATAAAGTGCTAAAAACAAGATATTTTAATAAATATTTTTTTTTGAAAAACTAATAAAGGTGCGACCTTATCTATTTGGCTAATTAATTAGCACGTTTTATTGGTTTTTGATAAAAACAAAGAAAATAAAATAATCGAGTCCGGCCCTGGATTTTACATTCGTCCACCTAGTCTTACGTTACTTTTAGGAAGTTTTGTTAGCGTGTAAAATTTCAACAAAATGGTGCTTGAGATGTATGTGCTATTGAAAATTCGGCGTGCATATCCATCTAAACTGAATTTAGAACCTTTTCATTTTATGTACGCCTCAGATCGGTGCAAGACCAAACAGGAGGTACATATAGGGGGTTAAGGCTTTTACCCACCATATCGGTGCAAGATCAATAAGCCGGATCGCCGGAGTTAATTTATTCAATAAGCAGTTACCAGGTGGAGTACTACAGTGGTGGTACAGCGGGGTCGGCAAAAAGGATCATAGTTTGCCTAGTTGCCAGGATATGATCACGTGTCCGGATTTGTAGAGCTTATATCGGTACTATTAACCTCACAAAACATGATGATGATTACGAGGCTCCCACCATATCAAGGGTGTCTTGAATTCAGTAGCAGATGTTTATCCACTGAACCATTGCTGCAAAGAGGGAACGTAATTTTGGTGTATAATTTTTAGCACCTATGGCTCAAATGACACAAAAACTGTATGTAACGTTGGAAACTCTATGGGACGTTTGAAATTGTCTGGAACGTGTTCTCTTTGAAGCCACTGTTTTAGCTGTCAGAAATTAATATAGTTGAAACTGACAATATACAGGTATGCACTGTCAGCCTAAATGCCCGTAGAAAATTCTACTAGACTAGATCTGCTATACAAAAAATTACGGGGTTTTTGAAATGAGCACAACAAAATACATTGAATGTTATAATTCTATAATGAGAATTTTATGAAGTAGTTATTCGCTGGACAGTGTTATCTTTGGTTTAATAACTTGAAGCTACCTTCCAGTTCGTATTGATAGATGTTATTACGGTTATTAATAATAAAACTTGTAAAATAGAATATTGATTACATACGATCCTTTTTATTTTGATCCTAGATTGCATTCGACACGTAACTACTCTCATTCATCAAATACATATAAATGTTGCACATACATATATTAACCAAGAATGTATTTACCTTGTGCATTATAAACATTTATTACGGACTTTTATTACTTACCGACACGCAATGGCATTATTGATCTTATTTTCAATGGCATAATAAACATCAATACCATTAGAAGAACGTATATTTATAGCTCAAGCATTTTGTGGAGAAATTAATGATGACAAAGCTGGTTTTATCTACCCCTATATGGTTATAGTGGAAAGTTACGTCCATCTGTTCAACCGAATTGCTTTTTGGAATGGTTGCTCCTGTATAAGATGGGGTTAGGTTCCGGGGTTGATTTTTGTAATTTTTATACGCATTTACTGGCAGCTCAGTTTTTTTTTGGCAAAACGGTCAGACCCGTCGATTTTGTTTTCGAGGGGCACACAACTTTGGCAAAAAATCACGTTAACACGTGCAGCCCCCTGGGCGGGGGTGACATCAACCCTAAAATCTTAAATGGAAAGGGGGTCGAGTGATACCTTATTTTAAAGGTCTTTCAATTCCCTTTATAATGAAGTAAAATACATGAGCTTCAGTTCAGTAGTCTTGAAGATTTATCGATTTAAAGCTTAAAGTATACTTTAATAGGTACATCAGATTAGTTTGTACTACTTTCAGAAGAAATTTGACTAAAAGAATGTACTTAATAAGTAAATGCTTTTCTTCACTACGCCTATGGTTTCTTTATAATTTTGTTGTTGAAAATAGCTATTGGAGCGTTTTTTTGTGGCAAAAAAGTTATTTCTTGAAGAAGGATAAGGAAATATCTCGTAATTTAAAATTTAAAATAGGAATTTAGTAAATAGTTTGCGATTGATTTGATCAAACTTTGCTGCTAAAATAACTTGTAACGCTTTATTACATAAATTAACCATGGTATATTCCACAGCAGAAAGAGTTGAAGTTATCGAAATATTTTGCGGTAATAATCAGTGCGCTAATAGAACAGCAGAAATATTTAATGAGCGACATGAGAACAGTAACGAGCATCGAAAATATGTTCTAGAACTTGTAGCTAAATTTCGGGAAACTGGGTGAGTCGCCAATAAAAAACGCAACATTGAAAATCCCATAAGGAA